GGCAAGTGTCTGCCACTGAGCTACATCCCCATCTCTAAGATCGTACTTCAGGGTCTGAACAACCCTTTCTGAGTTTCTGGCTCACGAGCTGTTGTCTCTTGCTGGAGAAAGGCTGCCCAGAGTGCGCTAGAGTCCAGGGGCCAGAGATGGGCTCAGCTTCCATCCAAGGGTTCTTCCTGCTTTTGCCTGTTTGTAAAATGCATCATCCCCATTTAACCAGCTGTTTGTCCCAATAGCAAATAAAGAATGCGTTCTCTTCTATTTTGTTTATTTGTGAAAACATTCACGTCAAGATCCTAACCCTCACCAAGACAACCCCCTGACCCTTGCAGGGGGCAGGAGGATCGGTGGGCAGGCTACAAGGAAGGGGCGGGATGTTCACCAGGCCCTCCTCCTCCGGCTGGGCGGGGAGGGGACAGGGTGGGGTGAGACACGAGTATGTCTTCTCTCCCTTCTTCTATTTGTCCCTTTTGCTCCTCTGACCTCTGGTCCCTCAGGGGCCCTGGGCACAGGACTATTCAGCCCCCCTCATCAGGTGCTCACTGCAGACCTGAGACGGGGTTGTAGGGGCAGAGACTGCAGAAGCAGAGAGCTGGGGTGCTGGGGAGGTTTCACTGAACAGGTGACGTTGCGATTTAAAGAGCCAAGTGAGATTGTATTCCAGCCCATGAGGTCACCAGGAGCAAAGCGGAAGCTACATAAAAGGGCGCTGTGTGTGGAGAGAGGGGCAGAGTCCAGGGTGGCTGGGTTGTGACAAGCACGGGAGGGGGTGTGTGAGGAGGTCTCGGCTTCATCCAGCAGGAAAGGGCCTCGAGGAGGGCGAGGCTTTTGACAGGGGTCACATTTGCAAGATATCACCGGGGGATTTGCCAGGGCTGGGGAGGGGGAGGAGCTGCTGAAATAACAGGAACTTTCCTAGCAGGCCTGCCAGACACATCAAATAAAAATACAGGGCTTCCAATTAACTTCAAATTCCAAATCATGAATGAATTACTTTCAGTATAAATATATCCCGTGCCATAATTAATCTTCAGTTCAAACGGCACTGAGTGTCCTGTATTTTTTCTGGTGATCCTACTTCAGAGTCATCTTCCTGATGCAGATCTGATCCGTGTGGACCACTGCTGTCTCGATTTGACTTCCTGCGTGAATAATCCTCGGGCCCACCGAGCATATCTCTTTTTTTTGCTGGAGCATTGACATAGCGAAGAGCATTTTGCAGCCCCGTCTTTAGTTCAGTGTCATAGGTTGCCTGTGTCATTATTGGTTCAGTGTTGGCTAGATCCATCTTAAATGTCCTTGCTTTTAAAATTCAGCGATGATATCCATGAAATCACAGGTCCAATGGGGAGCTACTTTTTGTATACCTATTCCAGTAAACACAGGGGTATAATTCTTTTATCCCCCTAGTGGCTAAACTTTGCATCCACACCCTGGGAAATACCAGTACAGCAGGAAGCTACACAGGGCTGGGCTGCCACAGCTCCTCCTGGAGCTGGAGCCTTGGTCACTGTGTAGATGGGAAGAGGATTCCTGAGGCGTTGCAAGCCCTGAGCTGGACGGCAGTGGACCAGGATGGGGTGAAGATGGGCAAGTGGGAACTGCTTCCAGAAATCCAGCAGGTCCCAGAGGAGCAGGGTCACCAGCGTGGCTGGGGTCCCACTATCTGAGAAGAGCCCCACAGGGTCTGGTGAGGGCCAAGGATGGACTGGAGGGTGCAGTTGAGGAGTATAAGTCCCTGATGAGCAGCACCTCCCTCCAGTAGCGTAAGCTGATAGTGGGGAGCGCTCGTGGAGTTTGGACTAGGTTCGCACCCTGTCCAGTGCTGTGGGTTTGTTAAAGTTTCTCCTTGTGCTTGGGAACGGTTCCGGTTGATATCTGCCCTGGGCTGGGCTGGCCGCAGAGCTTTCCCAGGTTTCTCGGTGTAGACTGGGGCCACCAGGACTGCAACAGTCAGAACTTGAACTCATTCCCCATTCTTGTCCCGGCACTTCTGACCTCTCCAGGAGCCCAGAGTGCGGAGCATGACCTTAGCAAGGCTGCCGCTCTCCAGGAGTCTCTTTACAACAGGGTGGATCCGTGACCCCCAGTGAGGAGTGCCTTGTGGTGTCTGGGAAACTCCACAGTGCCTTGTGGTGTCTGGGAAACTCCACAAGGGGACCCTTGTGCGAGAGGAGTGCTAAGATAGTGTCTCCCACAGCGGGGACCCTTGTGCGAGAGGAGCGCTAAGATCATGCCCTCAGCCTCTCGTTGCTCAGCACAGTCTGTGGATCCCCACAGACCCTGCCTGCGCCTTTCCATGGCGGGCTGCTGAGCCAGGGGGTGGTCGGGGCCTGCCCAGCGCCCACATGTCACAGGCCGTCCTGCTGGGGCCAGGAGGAGGAGCTGCATGGGAGAATATCGTGTCTGTCATGCGCTACCCTGGGAGTAGGTACCGCCATCTTCATTTTACAGACAAGGAAACCTAAACTCCTAATTACATAACTGTGAGAGACATAACATACGTAAGGCTTAAACTATTAAAAAGCATTTATAGATATTTTTCTGACCATATCTGAAATGTGTAGTTTTTCATAATTCATGGGTATTCTGGGAATATAACCTACGTGAGTTTCAGGAGCCCACTGTAGCTCAAATGTAAACTTATCTCTGTCTCACATAATATTACAGGCAAGTGTTTCGGAGCCCGTATGCACCACAATGGCATCCTCAGCTCCAGCCATCACATTCCCACCATCAGGTCGGAGGAGAGCACATGCTTCTTTTTAAGGGTCTAGCCTGGAAGATGGCACATACAACTTGCTTACGTCTCATGTTGATCCAATATCACAGATAACCGACGCCGCAAGGGAAGTTGGGAAACATAGTCTTTAACTAATTTAAATTGCCAGGCAGGTGGGAGCCACTATCCTAATAGCTTTGGGAAACCTTGGTGAGATGGACAGGCCATTCTTGTTTTTCTTAGAAAGCCTGGACTTCGAATTAGACTACGTGGTTTAGAGCTGCGCTCTACTGCAGAGGTCTGATCTGGGCGAGTTGTATAACCTCTCTGAAGCTCAGTGTTTTCTTCTGCACGGTGAGGTAGTGATAATTATTAATCTGCGTGTCTCAGGGGAATGTTGGGAGGCCCAAATAAATTACTGTCTCTGAGAGCCTGGCGTGGGCTGCTAGGTCACACGGGGCCACGTCGGGACACCCAGCGGGCTTAGCTGGGTTTGGTTTTTAAACTGTAAGCACTTGGTGCCAGCTCCCACGGTGATTTGGGGTGAAAGCCACACATGGGAAGCTCTTCAGTGTTGTCCTTGCGCTCTGTGGCACACCCTGTGCTACCACTTCACCGCGTCCTATTTGTTCCAGCTTAGTCACCTGCCCGGCTGGGTCCAGCACCCCTCCTCTGTGCACTTTGCTCCTGGGCTCCCCATGTTCCCCCAGGTGAGAGTCACTGGCCGGGCACCTCCCTGCTTCCCGAGCTCTGGTCTCATGTGGCCAGGAAGAAAGCCCTCAAGCAGCCCTAGCAATGCTAGGTGGACCCTTTCTCCTCCTCTGAGCAGCAGGCCCCAGCGGTAGCGGGGGCTTCTGCACCCCGGCAGTCTGCAGCCTCACTGGTTCGCACAGAACCTGTTCTGTCTCAGAGCCTCCCTGAATCTCTCCCTCCAGGGCTAGGTTATGTTCCTCCTGCAGGATCCCTTCGTCCTCGGGGGTTTCCTCACCCCAGCCCCGATCACTCAGGGCTGTCCCCACCCGGCAATGTGTCTGGAGTCTGCCTCCCACTGGTCTGTGAATTCCCTAGGGCAGGTCCGGGCCTGGCTTGTCACAGATGGACACTGGCAACCCACAGGGGGACCATACCGTGCGCTCTCTATGGGGCTCAGTGATTCCAGAATGCGACAGACTCCTGTCGAGCTCCCCTGTGAGCTCTCTTTAGGGTCTAAGTCTGAGTTCTTTGTCTTCCATCTTGGAGTAGGAAAACGGTACCTGCAGTGGTGAGGGGCCAGCACTAGGTCTAATCCTTGAGGACTCCTCACTCTGGGAGGGCACCCAGTCCTTTTTGAAGCCAGAGTCTTCTCTTCAAGGGCACACAGTAGATAAACTTTCATGACTGGGCCTGGTATTAGTCAGGTTTTTCATTACTATAATGAAATATCAGAGGCAGGCTGTTTTCTAATGAAAGGAGTTTTATTTTGGCTCATGGTTCTGGAGGTACAAGGACCAAACAACACAGGTCAAGCTCTTGCCAGGGCCCCTCAGTGACTGTGTCACCTCATAGCCTCTGGCCTTCTTGCTGGCCACCTGGAGGTGGTGGCCCAGGGAATCACACGGCAAGAGACAGGGTGTATCCTATTCAGTGTCTCCTTATAATCCACAGGATTCAATCATGTTGTCTCCATCCCAGTGACCTATTTTAATCATTTCATGGGCCACTTCTAAACACCATGAAATTTCAATCATTTAGTATATTAACAGAAGACTTTGGGGATTAAATTCCTGCATAAATTTAGTGGGGGAGGGAGGATTATATTGAAACCTTAGCAGGTCTGATTCCTTTCAAAGTTCCTACACAGGGTTGGCACACAGCAGGCCTTACGGGACACTGGGTGGGCACACGGCAGGATCCCTACAGGGCTGGGTGCTGTCTAGTCACAGCAGGAAGTGGGCTCCTACTTACCCGCCCCGTCCCCCAATAATCACCGAGATCTCGAAGGGAGGAAGGGGGCAGTGCGGTGGCCCGAGGGACTCAGGGGGCAGGTCCCTGGAAACTGGCAGTACGGGGGCGGGGCCTAGGACTTACAGGCCCACACTCCTGGGTCCTCTGGGGGCGGGGAACCAGAACGCTGATTATCTAGGGAGATCAAGGCTCCTGGGTTATTCGTAAGGAACGAGATACAGCTCTGGATGCCCGAGTCTCTGCGGTGGAGAGGCCACACTGACGTGTGGGTGCGCACTTCGGCTCCCCAACGGGTCTAGCCAGTGTCAGTGGGAAGGATGCAGACCAGAACGCGTGACAGTTTGGCAGGATATTTTATTGGGTCTCTGCTCCCTGCCCGACCCTCGATCAGTCCGAACAGGCCAAACCAGGCACGCGGCCCCCGAAGCGGTACGTGTACTTGCGCCCACCGCTCTTTTGCACGATGTCGCGGCGGTAGTAGTAACGCAGACCCCGGCTCAGCTTCTCGTAATTCATGCCCGGCTTCCTCTTGCGCTCGCCCCACAGCCGCGCCACCTACGGCGGAGGCCAGGCGGGGTCAGGGAGGGCGAGGGGGCGGGGCTGCCACGATGGGCGGGGCCGGACCGCGCTGGGTACGCGGGTCCCAGGTGGTCAGGGCGGGGCTCTCGCTTGAGTCTGGGGTCCAGGCGGAGACCCGGATACAGCGGAGCCTAGAGGGGGCGGGGCTGGGGCGGGACCAAAGACTAGCCCAAGCGAAGGGCGGGGAGAGGGCGCACTAGGGCGTTCCGGGCGGGACTCGCACGGCCAGGGGAGCTGCCCCACCTCTTTGGGGTCGCACAGCTGGAACTCGCGGCTGTTGCCAGTCCAGCGGATGCAGCTGCTACGCGCCCCGTCGTGCAGTAGCTCCAGGAGAAACTGCCACAGCTGAATGGGACCTGCGAGGCGGAAGCAGGTGAACACCCAAGTTTCCCAGACCCGGGCGTCGCCGCTCCGACGAAGGGAGTCGGGGCTCCCTCATGTTGAAGGCTCAAGGGTCCAGGTCTTGCCAGCTTTGGGCCCTTTGGAGCCCTTTGGACTCTTTGCGGAATCTAGATCTCTGCGGACCACTTAGGGAATGTACGAGTTTGGGGGTTAAGAGTCAGCTGGGATTGTAGCGCACGCCTTTAATTCCTGCATTCTGGGTGACTGAAGCAGGAGGATCGCAAGTGTGAGTAGAGTTGGGGCAATTTAGTGACTAGCGAGACCCTGTCTCAAAAGTTAAAAATAAAAATGCGCTGGCTCCCCTCCGCTCGCCCGCTGTTAGGCACCTAAGCCCCGCCCCTCTGGCCACGTTTCCGGGCCGCGCCCCCTTGGATGCAGAGGCCCCCTCACCACTCCGGCTTCGCGCCCAGGGGAATCTTGCAGGACCTCTCACCTCGGTGGTGGTTCGTTTTGGGGTAACGAGTCGAGGTGGCACGGTCGGGCTGCGGCCTCGGTTCGGAGGAGGTGGTGAGAGCTGAACTCCGGTACCCGTTCGAAGAGAGGCTGCAATCTCCATGCAGCCCGAGACTCCACGAGGTGGTACGGTCCGAACCCGCAGGGTCGCCCCACGACATGGTATAGTCCGCGCGAGGGTCCCCGTAGAAGCCATTGTCCCAGTAGGTGGCGCCGTTGGGCACGACAGAATAGTCGCAGCTCGCCGTGCTCCTGGCGGCCTGGGCGTGAGACCACGAGGTGGCACTGTTCTGGCCCGCCGCCCCTCCGGAACCAGCGTCGGGGGCGTGGCCTGGGCCGGGGAGGGCCGGCTCCAGGGTCTGAAAGACGAGGTTGCAAGGGTCCGAGGCGTTTTGCGCCATATCTGTCCAATCTCTGGACCACGTAGGGGCCTGAGGGCCGAGATCTGTGAGGAAGAGTCAAACCTAAGTGAGGGGGGCCCAGCTGTCCTGATCCCGGACCCTACCGGAGTTCTAGGTGTCTACGGGACCGGGACCCCCAGATCTAAGCTATGCCACCTTGAGGACGCAGGTGTGCCCTCTGCTTGCCCCTGCCTTCAGCTTGGGCATCGGGAGCAGGACCCAGTCCTCTCCTGCCACTGCCTCTGCACGCAACCTCACCTGCTCCCCATGCATATTCTGGATGTGGTAACGCGGGGCTCCAGTTTAGCTCCGGGAACCCTGCGAAGGACAGGATAGCAACTGAGTTTAGGAAGAGTGGGCGCCAGGACTTCAGGACCCCAATCGCCCACCCACTCCGGTCTTTGTCAGGGCTGGGAGTCACTCACTGAGGACCCCGGGCCCCTGCTCCAACTTCAGGCGTCCCCCTAACTCTTCCGGGGAGCCCGGGCATGCCCCCTCCTCTCTTAGACCTAGGAGCCCAGCCTCCATCCTCCCCCCAGCACCCAGGGGTCCCAGCCCGGCAGCCACCTTTCCAGCATGTTTCGCTTGTCGGTGTGTCCGCTTGGAGTTCTAGTTCAGGGAAATAGAAGCCAAATTCGGTTCCTTCTGCAGGCAAAAAAAGACGTTAAGGCCAGGTCAGGGGTCAGCAGCAGTCCCCACCCAAGCATCCTCCCTACGTGTTGTCTCGGCCCCAGCACCTACCCAGCCCTGCCAGCTTGTTCCCTGCAGGCACTTCCTGTGGCGGGGTCTCATCGCAGCTCCACACGTCCATAGGCGCTCGTTTGGAATGATCTGGATGAGTGGTGACCCTTAGGGACCCCAGAGTCTGGGCACCAGCCCTTCCCTCCCTGGGACTCAGGTGTCCAAGCTCCTGCTCCCTCTTTCCCCAGGAACCTGGCACCTGGCCCAGGCACCCATCCCATCCCCACTTCATAGCTCACCTCCAGCGGGTTCCTCTGTCCCCAACCGGGGGTCTCAGCCCCATTTCATACCGTGCACCCCCTCCCCCCGGGACCTGGGCAGGGGGGAATTTTCCAAGACGTCAGAGCAAGGGGTCGCAGCCTGGGTCAAGTTGCAGGTCCGGGGGCGGAGCCGCGCCGCGCCCCCCGGCATCAGGGATGCAGCCTCTGGAGCTGTCCTGGTGCAGGAGTGGCTTGGGGAACAGCGGGCTGGGCAAGGCGGGGGACAGGGGCCGGGAGTGTTTATGAGGTGATGGGGGCTGGGCAGAGTGGACAGGTTCTCCGTCTTGGGGACTTGATCCTGCGACATGGGAGGTGGAAGGAGGGCCAGGGGTCAGCTAGGCTGCGCCAGGCTTATCTGCAACAGGAAGAGGGATTTCCGGCCAGATTCCCCGCGTCCCCAGCGACGTCACAATCAACAGGGTGACCGCGGGAGATGGAAGCAGACCTTGCATCCCCGCCCCCTCAAGAACGAGTTGCCCAGGGTGTTCTGGAACTGCCCAGGAGTAGTGTCAATCATAATAAAAGGTTAACATCAGCAACATGGATCATAAAAATAGTAATAATTACAGCTAACATCGCAGGAGGAGCCATGTGCATGCCAATATGCCACGTGTATTGGGTCTTCATTCAGTCCTTTGATGAGGTAGATACAGCTCTTTCCCCTGTTTTATGAAAGGGAAAATTGAGGCAGACATCTTTCCATTTCATTTTCCAAAGCCCTATGTATTTCTGAGCTATAATAGTTCGGGACAACTGGGAAATCTTGTGTATGAAATGAATATGAGCTATCACATGGGCCACGCATGGTGGTGCAGGCCTATAATCCCAGCACTTGGTAGACTGAGGCAGGAGGATCGCTGTGAGTTCAAGCCCAGCTAGTACTACAAAGCAAGACCCTTTCTCAAAAAAA